CGAGGGGGGTCTGGTAGATGTACTGGCGCGTCACGGGGTCGCGGAGGTCGCGCCCGACATCCTGGCTGCGCCTGCGACGGCGGCGCCCAGGATGGCCCTCGACCTGCGCGGCTGCAAAGGGGGGCCAGGATACCTCGTCAGAGTCTCGCGACTGGTCGGGCCTGCTCCAGCGCTCGTTACGTTCCCAGTTGCCCCTTCCCGACCAGTGCGTCGAGCGGTTGCCGCGCGGGCTACTGCGGCCAGTCACGCTGCGCCAACGCGGGCGGCGCTCGCGCCAGTCGCCATTCCAGCCCCGTCGGTTCCGCGCGCCAGTGGGCGGGCGGGCCCTGGGCATGCCAGGGGAACGCGGAGCGCCCTGCCCCGGCGGGCGCGCGAGGCCCCTGTCGTCCGCGACGGAAGCGGCGCCCAAGCGGGAATCGGCCGGCGAGGTTGGAGCGCGGGCCCCGCCTTCCTGCACGGGGCTGGCCGACGAGTGAACGACTTCAGCAGGATGGGTGCTCGGCGACGGGGAGAGCTCGACCTGGGCGCCTCGGCGGCCTGCGGGCGCCGCGGGGGGCGGGCACGGGGGAGCAGCGTCGGCCACCCCAGGCCCGCGCGGCCCCATCACCCCCTCGCCGTGGGAAGGCCTTCCGCACCGGCAGCTGCCTGGGCCGGAGGCCTGTGCCTCGGGCTGGCTTCTTGCGGTGGCCCGCGGCGCGGGGGCGGGGCAGCCTGGCGGAGGCAGGGCGGGTCAGTGGGACCGCGCGGGGAAAGGGCGGGGGAAGGGCGCGTAGCCTCGCCCCGGTCTGGCCCAGGTGAGGCGGACTGGCGGCGTTGAAACCCCACCGGGGGGTTGGCGGAGTCGCGGGGGACTTTTCGACGCGAACCGGAACTCACCCTTGTCGATCTTACCGCAAGAGGCGACGTGGAACTGCCTGCACATATCCTGAATGTCTCGCATGGGGATCTCCGCGGTGAGATGCATCAGGATGCCGGGTGGAATTCGGCCAGCGTTTCAACGGCGCGTTGCACGGGGGGCGGGCCGCGCGGGGGCCATTTGTCGGAGTGGAGCAGCCACCTGTCCATGTCGCTGGTGTCCTTGGTTAGCACACAGAGCCTGACGACCGCCCGCGCGGCAGATAGCCGCCCCCCCTGCCAAAGGAAATCCTTGGTGAGGTAAGTTGATGGGACCCGTGCACCATAGATTAGCTTCAGGAAGGACTGGGCCTGCGTCCACTTCCCCAGGTCATCCAGGTGCGCCGCGTCTTTGCTATCGGCGGTTATGGGCATTGTGACAGGTCGGTCGGCGTCGCCCTCCCCCTCGGCCTCCAGCGAGCAGATGACGGAGACCTTCAACACTGGTCCGCGCGGCATGTCAGCAACCGGAAGCAGGTCAAGGACCTCTTTTGACTTGTCCGACATTGAAGGGGGGGGGGGGGGGCGTCCGAGGCGCCTCCCGCGGAGACGCCATCGCGCTGGCTGGGCGGGACAGGGGGGGCGGTGAGTGCGCGGTTGGGGGCGAACTCGGGTAGACAAGATGCGAACACTGGTCGAGGAGCCGATCAACAGAGCTGGGGCTGGCATCCCAGGCATACACGAAGCAAGAGCGGCACGCCCAGGTAGCATTCCAGTGGCGGCTCGTCCAGGCGGTTAACCGATCGGCCCAAGCTGGGAGGCCACCCACGTCGGTGAAACTGAACTCAGCGTCCGCTTTTCATACAAAGCGACCAAGTGCAGGTGTGCCGGGCCCCCCTGTAACAAGTGTCGCGCGTCGCCGTGTAGCGCTTGTTGATGTGGGCCGAGCGCCCAAATCTGTCGTTTGTCGACACGAGCGGGCGGAATGGCTGCGATGGCCTGTCGGGGACGTGGAGGCCCAAAGGGGTCAGTGGGAAGTCGCCCAGGTCGGCCTGGCAGGTCTCGGTCGGCGCGGGGGCCGCAAGCCGAGGAGGGCGGGAGGGGGGGGGGGGGGGGCGCCGCCGGGGGCCGGGCGGGGTTCGTGGCCCGGGACACCGCGAGGACGACGTCGGAGAGCGAGCAGTCCGCAGGAACGATGCGACCATCCGCCTCAGTCGCCGTAACCTAGCAGGAGCCGCATAGCCATGCGCAGTTCGACAATCCAGGCCGTTCGCGTGCGCCTGCAGCCGGTTGGGCGCACGGTCAGATCGGATATTGTCGTTCAACCAAGTGCCGCCCTGATACTGGCACTGGGGCTTGCGGCACTGGTCACAATGAAACCTGGTTTCCTTCCGACTGGCGCTGGAGCGCATATCGCCTGGAGCAAGACATGGGGGGACCTCGGTGACAGAGGGGAGCGGTGCCGGCGGCAGGGCACCATCGGCCCAGGGGCGCACCCCTTGCCTGCGAGGGCATGCTGTAGAGAGCAGATGCTGCACGCCGCATGCGAGAGGTTGCTGAGGTCGGCCGGCCCCACGATTCTCTCGAGAACTAGCACGGGGGCCTTGAGCTTGAAGTCGCAGGATTCCAGGCCGGCGTAGGTGGTTGGGCAGCCTGCCTCCTCTGCTGCAAGGTGGCGATGGGCGGTGGAGACCAACTTGGCTGCCGCGCCGATCAATGCCTCGAGCTTCCCGCGAAGGTCCCCGAGATCGGAGAACTGCAGTCGCCGGGAGGCAGCCAGCTGCGAACGGAAGAGGTGGTCTTTCCTGCCACGGGCAGCAGAGTCCCAGGGTGGCTTCCAGGATGCCCCCCCGCGCCAGAAGGGTCGGGAAAGGGCCACATGTGGGTGCGCGGTTCGCGCTTCATTGGCAGCATGATGATGAGTACGCAGCGGCGCTTCGCCTGGATCATGTCTCGCTGGTCGGGACCAAGCAGCTCCGGTCGGTTGCCAGTCCCGTCTCGGGCCTTTTCGGAGGTCATCCAGGGTGCCCAAGCTGGGGCAGACCAGGTGGCGCGGGCAGGTCCGGGCCCCGCTGGACCAGGCGCTGGGAACGTGAAGGTCCTGGGGGGCACAGCGGTTCTTATTCTGTCGGGGAGACGTAAGACTCAGATACGGGGGGCGAGGGTTGGCCTGACGGGGTCCATCATAAAAACGGCGAGACGCAATCTGAAATTTGACGCGAGCTCCCACTGCAAACATCCAACGAAAACTGGACCGTCAAAATCAGCGACGCGCTCGTCGAAAAACGTCGGCAAACCCGACTTCCGGCTTACCCGAGTCTTACGTTCCCCCGATTCTGGTGCCTCCGACCAGCATGTCCTTGTGCTTCGGGCCTCGGTGGTAGCTCGTTCGCCTCGATCGTGCGCGTAGCGTCATGGAGGCCCATGTCAGGTTGTACACCAGACTCCCGGCATCCAGGCGTAGGTCCAAATCTTAGAAGTACCCCGGGTGGCTCCAGAGCTTCCTGTCAAACTGCCCGGGGTCGGAAGGGTGCCTTCCGCGTTGTACTTGCGGGGGTGCAGTCCAGCTACGAGGAAGAGGACGCTCGCAAAGGCACGCTCGTTAAAGACCGCCTCCAATGCCCCTGTCATGAGGACCCCGATAGCGTCCCAGCACGGCTCGGCAGCAAGGGGAAGGTCGCACTGCGCGCTGAAACACCTCGCGCAGAGGTCGCGCCTCGCCGCCACCTCTTGTGGAGTTTCCGTGCCGGCGTCGTTGTTGGCCGAGGGGGTCTCAGCAGTCGGAGGCACCCAGGAGGCCAGGTCATCGATCGGGTTGAAGGCGCTGTCGGTGCTGAGCGCGATGCGCTTGCCAGGGCTCTGGCCGGGGGGTGTAGTAAAGCGTGTCCAGAGGCCTGCAAGCCGCCCGTAGTTGGAGAGCACTTTAAGTTTGGAGTCTGCCATCGCCGGCATCACGCGGCCGTCGGCGATGATAACGACGCCCTTCCTGGCCCGAGTGAGCCCCAGGTTGACCCTGTTGGGGTTGTCCACGAAGCCCCACATGTGGTCTGAGTTGGACCGCGTGGTGAGGAAGATGACTGGTGGGGGTACTTTTTGGTCAGCAGGCTCGCGAGGCGGGTCGAAAGCCGTCCGAACACTAGTCGGGCTGCGACTAGGCAGCCAGAAAAGAAAGGCAAGCGAAGCGAGCGAGCGGGCAGCCACTCAGAAGGAGAGCCAGAACCGATACTCCCAAACCCGGTGGCGTTGGAAACTGGTGGGGTTACGCGAAGCGTCTAGAATCAGGGAGGGTTCGGGAGACTCGGGTTGGCCTGACGGTGACATTTGGGCGCGAGTTCCCGCTGCTGGGACATTTGACGCGTCTGACATTTGACGCGAGTTCCCGCTGCTGGGACGCGCGCGTCAGGAAGCGTTGACACACCCGAGTGCCGGCGCATTCGGGCCTTCCGCTTCGAGCCTCGAATATGTTTCGTTGGCGGCGCGCAGAGAGGGAGGAGGGAAGGCTTTTTAGAAGTGGGCTGCTTATTAGAAGGCGCTGGCCTTACATGTATGGAGAAGGCCCGCGCCTTCTAAGAAGCAGGGGCGCTTCTAAGAAGCCTTCCTCCCTCCCCCTTCCCCCCTCTGCGCGTGGCCGATTTCCGCCCTCGGAGGCAGGCACACAGGCAGGAGAGCCCAGAATCGAATCGATAAGTCGGATCGGCGATCCACATGACTCGGATCGGCGGAAATCGGCAGCCGAACCGGGAAAAGTCGGCTCGGCGGACATCGGCAGGCCCAGCAGGCATCCGTGGAGAACTCGGAGCCCAGCTCGGAATCCGGAGCCGAATCGAAGCGGCATCGGAAATCCCTCGAAATCGAACCGCACCGAAATCGGGGGCACCGGCGCGAGCCCCGCAGGAGGGCGCCCTCGAGCCCTGCCCGCGGAGCCGACGGCCTCGGCTCCCCCGGCCAGGGCGGACAGTGGGAACTTTGGGTCGGTGTTTTGAAGTCTCTGAGAGATTTGAAAGTTCGTTCTGAGAACCAAGATTATTCGCACCTGTCGCAGGTTATGCCGCATTCGCCAGTGACATGTTTAGGTCCCTGGCTGCGGAATCACTATCAAAATGCTTGCAGCAACCGACTCAGAGTCAACCCCGAGGCCCGCCCCCTCCCCGCAGAGGGGGACCCGCCTCCAGGCATAGGACCCAGTCGAACTTCTGCCAGAGGCCCAGGGGCCTCGAGCGCCCGCGGCCCCCCCCCTCGTCGAGGCAGGGCGCTCCCCCTCCTCCTCCTCCTCCTCCTGTCCTCCCTCCTCCTCCTCCCCTCCTCCTCCTCCTCCTCCTCCTCCTCCTCCTCCTCCTCCTCCTCCTCCTCCTCCTCCTCCTCCGCCTCCTCCGCCTCCTCCTCCCTCGTCGAGACAGGGCGCTCGGCGGCAGCTCGCGCCGGGAGGCAGCCACCAGGAGGTCCTCGCCAGAAGGACCAAGGAGGATCGGGCTGGGCGAAAGGTGGGGATGTCCAAACTAACAGGGATCCATCGTTATCCCACCAGCCCTTTGGGCGTGAGTGGTTTAGGGAGCCCGCTCTGTTCTCACCCCCCCTTCTTCCCCTTCGGGGAGGGGTTTACCCCTCCCCCTACCCCCTCCCCCTGGGCCTGGAGAGGGCGCCCCGCGGGTCGTCGGAGGAGTCTTTTTCGACTCCTGGGAGGGCTAAAAAACGACGACCCTCACGAGGATTCTGGCCCCGACGGGGGGGGGGAGTTTGGCCCCTCTGCTCTTTTTCAAAGCCAGAATCGTTGATTGTACTACGGTTTTGGCCCCATTTTGGCGTCCTGAGGGGGCCGCGCTCATCTTCCTTCATAGCAAAATCATTGATTTTACAAAGGTTTTCGGCTCATTTTGTCCTTCTCAGGGGGCAGCTCTCATTTGCGCTTCTGAGGAGGTCGCAAGAGGCCCCAAGATGGCCCCAAGAGGCCCCCAGGAGGCTCCCAAGAGGCCTCCAAGAGGCCCCCAAGAGGCCCCCAAGCGGCCCCAAGAGGCCCCCAAGAGGCCCCCAAGAGGCCCCCAAGAGGCCCCCAGAGGCCCCAAGAGGCCCCCAAGAGGCCCCCAAGAGGCCCCCAAGAGGCCCCCAAGAGGCCCCACGAGGCTCCAAGAGGCCCCCAAGAGGCCCCACGGGGAGCCCGAACGACTCACACCAGAACGAGGCGCCCGAACGACTCACACCACGAGGAGCCCGAACGACTCACACCAGGACGAGGGCCCCGAACGACTCACACCAAGAGGAGCCCGAACGACTCACACCAGGAGGAGGAGCCCGAACGACTCACACCAGGACGAAGGGCCCGAACAACTCACATCACGAGAAGACCGAACGACTCACGCCAGGACGAAGAGCCCGAACGACTCAAACCACGACGAAGAGCCCGAACGACTCACACCAGGAAGAAGGGCCCGAACGACTCACACCAGGACGAGAGGCCCGGAGATGTGCGGGGGCAGGCGGAAACACGCCTGATTATCCCGGCAAAGCAACCTAACAGCGATGTGTAGGAGCATATCTGGAAGCATTCCCCTTAAGATTCAGATAAGAATCCTGTTGTAGAATTCTGCTGTTCTCGCAGTCGTGGTCGCATTCGCGATGGCAGTCGCAGTGGCAACAGCAGTCGCAGTCACAGCCTCAGCCTCAGCCTGCCTCAGCCTCAGCCTCAGCCTGCCTCAGCCTCAGCCTGCCTCAGCCTCAGCCCTCAGCCTGCTTCAGCCTCAACATCAGTCTGCCTTCAGCCTCGGCCTCAGCCTCGCCTGCCTCAGCCTCAGCCTGCATCAGCCTCAGCCTCAGCCTCAGCCTGCCTCAGCATCAGCCTGCCTCAGCCTCAGCCTCAGCCTGCCTCAGCCTCGCCTCAGCCTCAGCCTGCTTCAGCCTCAGCCTCAGTCTGCCTTCAGCCTCGGCCTCAGCCTCAGCCTGCCTCAGCCTCAGCCTGCAGCCTCAGCCTCAGCCTCAGCCTGCCTCAGCATCAGCCTGCCTCAGCCTCAGCCTCAGCCTGCCTCAGCCTCAGCCTCAGCCTGCTTCAGCCTCAGCCTCAGTCTGCCTTCAGCCTCGGCCTCAGCCTCAGCCTGCCTCAGCCTCAGCCTGCATCAGCCTCAGCCTCAGCCTCAGCCTGCCTCAGCATCAGCCTGCCTCAGCCTCAGCCTCAGCCTCAGCCTGCCTCAGCCTCAGCCTGCTTCAGCCTCAGCCTCAGCCTCAGCCTCAGCCTCAGCCTCAGCCCTCAGCCTCAGCCTCAGCCTCAGCCTCAGCCTCAGCCTCAGCCTCAGCCTCAGCCTCAGCCTCAGCCTCAGCCTCAGCCTGCCTCAGCCTCAGCCTCAGCCTCAGCCTCAGCCTGCCTCAGCCTCAGCCTCAGCCTGCTTCAGCCTCAGCCTCAGTCTGCCTTCAGCCTCGGCCTCAGCCTCAGCCTGCCTCAGCCTCAGCCTCAGCCTCAGCCTCAGCCTCAGCCTCAGCCTCAGCCTCAGCCTCAGCCTGCCTCAGCCTCAGCCTCAGCCTGCTCAGCCTCAGCCTCAGCCTCTGCCTCAGCCTCTCAGCCTCAGCCTCAGCCTCAGCCTCAGCCTCTGCAGCCTCAGCCTCAGCCTCAGCCTCAGCCTCAGCCTCAGCAGCCTCAGCCTGCCTCAGCCTCAGCCTGCCTCAGCCTGCCTCAGCCTCAGCCTCAGCCTGCTTCAGCCTCAGCCTCAGTCTGCCTTCAGCCTCGGCCTCAGCCTCAGCCTGCCTCAGCCTCAGCCTGCATCAGCCTCAGCCTCAGCCTCAGCCTGCCTCAGCATCAGCCTGCCTCAGCCTCAGCCTCAGCCTGCCTCAGCCTCAGCCTCAGCCTGCTTCAGCCTCAGCCTCAGTCTGCCTTCAGCCTCGGCCTCAGCCTCAGCCTGCCTCAGCCTCAGCCTGCATCAGCCTCAGCCTCAGCCTCAGCCTGCCTCAGCATCAGCCTGCCTCAGCCTCAGCCTCAGCCTGCCTCAGCCTCAGCCTCAGCCTGCTTCAGCCTCAGCCTCAGTCTGCCTTCAGCCTCGTCCTCAGCCTCAGTCTGCCTTCAGCCTCAGCCTGCCTCAGCCTCAGCATCAGCCTGCCTCAGCATTCAAAGTGTGGCCCGGGAATGGAGTTCTGGGAACTCGAAGAACACGAAATGGCCTACAGTTGGCTCCGGGCATTCAAAATCATGCCCAGGAATGGAGTTCTGGGAACTCGAAGACCACGAAGTGGCCTACAGTTGGCTCCGGGCATTCAAAATCATGGCCCAGGAATGGAGTTCTGGGAACTCGAAGACCACGAAGTGGCCTACAGTTGGCTCCGGGCATTCAAAATGTGGCCCGGGAATGGAGTTCTGGGAACTCGAAGAGCACGAAGTGGCCTACAGTTGGCTCCGGGCATTCAGAATGTGGCCCGGGAATGGAGTTCTGGGAGGTCGAAGAGCACGAAGTGTGTGACTGTATGCGAAAAACGATCCCCCCCGGCAAACCCCAACGGCCCCCCAACGGCTCCCCAACGGCTGCCCAGACCCCCCTGTGGAGTAATGTGCTGCTCTCTTTTGATACCACTAGAAACCTATCAGTCTTCGCTGTTAGGTAAAAAACACGACTGTCGGTATGCTTCGCAAGAGTTGCTTTTTTGAGATGGGCTGGTGGGGATACGCGAAGCGTAAAGAATGTTCTCATGGATGCAGGGGGGGAGGGGAGGACGAAGGAGGAGGCGGGGGGGAAGAAGCAAAGGGGGGAGGAACTACGAGAAAAGCAGAAAGGGGGGATAGCAAAGGGAAGGATAGCAAAGGGGGTGTTTGACAATCAGCTCGCGCAGCTGATTTTCATGGCGCCTCCCGGCGCCCATGTATCGGAGAATGGGCCCGGCGGCGGGGCCGAAACCAGCTGCATGCAGCAGATTTCGCAACCCCCCCTTTCCCTATCCCCCCCCTTTCGTTCGGCCCAAGAAGATTATAAGCCCCATTGGGGGGCTGCTACGCCGGATTGGGCCTCGGATCGAGCTGGGCTGAGCCGGACTCAGCAGAAATAGGCCCGACCAAACAGGAACAGGCCGGAGTGAGCCGGAGTTCGGACTGGGGCCAAAGCAGAATTTGACCGCCCAGGAGCTGCAACCGAACTCGCGGGGGCCTCCCATGCCATCTCGCGATCTCCTACGGGGCTCAAAAATATACACTACCACCACCACCTGCTTCACCCCCATCCCTCTCCCAGGAGAGAAGAGGGGAAGATGAGAGCAGAGGAGGGAGGGGGACTGGAGGTGGTGGTGGTGTATATTCTTGGAGCCCGCATCCCCTGCGACTCGACGCGAACCGACGCCGGTCGACGCTAACCGACGCGACTGTACGCCAAATCGGTGCCGATCGGCGCGAAATCGGCGCTGTCTCGTCGATTGCCGGACGCCCCGCGCTGGCGGCCCTCCCCTTGCACGGAAGAGGGGGACAGAGGAACAGGAGCACAAATTCGAAGAAGAAAAAACGCCATAACACACCAACTTCAAGAGCTCCGCGCGGATTTCTTGGATCTGCACTGTGCCCCCCTGGCAGCGCCTCCACCACCGCGCGCCAGGCAAGGGGAACGGAACGGAACGGAACGCCTGTGCGGGCAGGCGCCAGGGCCCCTTAACGGCGAGGCGGGCGAGGCCATGGCCTCGCATGAGAAACTGCGCGCGCCGGGCGCCTGCTCAGGGAGATGCGTACTTCACCAAATTGTCCATGGCAGATGCGTACCTCCCTGTGTCCCCGCCCCCACTTTCCTCCCACTCATTCGTCCTCGCCCCCCCTCCCTTCCTCCCCCTTCCCCCCACCTCCCCTCTCCTCCCTCGTTCTCTGCCCCGCCCCTCCTCTCTCCTCCCGCTCCTGCCTCCCTCGCCCTCCCGCCCTCCCCATCTCCCCCCGTTTCCTGCCTCCGTCGCCCCCCCTGCCCGCCCGCACCCCCGCCCCCGCCTGGCCCCTGGCCGCCCACGCCGCCGGGGCTGCGACGGGCCGCGGGCGGCCGCGGACGGGGCGCAGAAGCTCGGGGGGGCGCCAAAAGAGGAGGAGGAGGAGGAGGAGGAGGAGGAGGAGGAGGAGGAGGAGGAGGAAGAGGAAGAGGAGGAGGAGGAGGAGGAAGAGAAGGAGGAGGAGGAGGAGGAGGAGGACAAGGACATCCTCATGAGGGGGTAACGTCAGAGCACCTACACGGGTGGTCTACGCGCTATTGCAAAAATCCGCTGCGTTCGGTTGTGCCACG